GTGTGTGTGTGTGTGTGTGTTTGTGTGTGTGTGGTCCATGCATGTGTATGTGTGTGTGTGTGTTGTGTTGTGTAAGTGCACTTACTGCTTTGTTAAATGTGGTTGGTTCATGCTGCAGGCCTGCTGGGATTTCTTACATAAGTGGCGTATAAATAAGAGGAACTGAAATACTGTACGTTTGTGGACAGTGAGACATGGAGTGTTTTTTATATTTATTCGCACAGTAAAATGGACTCCTAGTCCTCTTTAGCCTTGCACGATGTGCGTCCATTTGGACAATTGGGGGATGCACGCAAGAGGAGACTGATGGTGACAATCAAGATGACGCACTACGCCTGATGGATGCATCAGAAATAGCCTCTATTAGAGGGTGTCTGTTCGCCAGCCAATAGAATACAGAAAACAGACCAATGCTAAGCTTTGAGGACTATTTGTCAGACAGCTAAGAATGATCGAAATCTTACCTGCTCAGTGTAGCAACGTATAGATGTGTAAGATCTGGATTGGGCAGATGGTTTATCGTAAGAAAAATGAAAATCTGCTCCAGGAGCGAACCGCGACTGGCAGCCTTGGTTCGATGACACCCATGTCTGGTGTTTACCAGCGTTGCAGCATCTGTCCGCTCCTGTTCGCTTTTCCAGGAGAGAGAAAAAACAAAAGACCACCTCGATGCGACCACTCAGCACAACGAGAGGGCGAACACACCATCCGCTGAATGACCGCGCATGAAAAAAGAGGGTAATAAGAAAAAAAACGTCAAAAAAACAATCAGAGAGAAATTATTACGGCGTTTGTAGATCATGAGTCGGGCAGTGGACATGCGAAATGGTGGCGATAGGATAATAACCCGGCAGCGTAGAGAGCTCCATCATCTGTGCATCTGATGGAGTCAGTCAGGTGTGGAGCCACTGAGCGGCGGAGGATGCTGTCATCAGCACAGCCCTACAAACATTACAATAACAGAGTCATCTCCCTCCTCTGAGGAACATGCAAAGGCTTTTTTTTAAATGTGATATCATAAATATATTGTATTCAACGTCTGGTCAAAATTACATTGTATATTATAGCTTATTTCGATATTTAATAGGCCTAAATGGTTTCGTTTTAATGCAAATATATTTGTTTATTTTGGGCTGTTCTATGCAATAATAAGCAAAACTCCCCTTTTTCCTGTTAGAATAACTTCTCCTGATATCTGATGCAGACACACACTAAATTGTATCATCAACGGTATCAATGACTTGATTATAATTAGGGTTTATATTAAGAACCGCTGTTCGGCCTCCGGCCACTAGGTGGTGATATATCTGTTCACTGCCGCAACGTCCGTCAGTCCTTTTCCAAGATGTCGGTTTACGGGCCAGCGGTGAAGATTCACCCCGTCGTTCTCGCTTCTATTTGTGACTCTTACGAGCGTAGAAATGAGGGAGCGAGTCGTGTTATCGGGACCCTGTTGGGTAAGCAGAAAGTTGAGGGATTTTGCTTTGTGATAAAACAGGTTGACGGGCTAGCCGGCTAACGTTAGCTTCGATGCTAACACATGTCGGCTTGGAATCAGTCCTGTAGAAGCTAACCCCAAAAACAGCTAGCTAGCTAGCAGCGTCTCTTATAACAGCTGGCTGTTCGCTGAAATGATAACGATGGAAACAATATCTGCGCCAAGTCATCTAACCGTTCTGATGAATTTGTTTACTACTATGACACATATCAACCAGCACTGAACGTTGTTATTGACGTTAGCCTGTGTTTGTGGTCGTCATTATTCTAGCCTCCCATGTACCCTCTTGTTTGCTAGCTAACAATGCTAAGGCGGTTAGCTCAACACTAAAGCCTAACTTTAACTTTTACCGTTTGTCCTTCACAGGTACTATCGAGAAGCACTCCATTGAGGTGACCAACTGCTTCTCTGTCCCCCACAATGAGTCTGAAGATGAGGTAAGTTCTGAAACTCATTTTACTCACTGACTGTAGGTAAACCTAGCTTGGCTTTAATACATGAACAGACACTAGTGCACAGTCAGACTTCTCCAGATTGTTTTGTCAGCCTTAATGGGATATTGTTACGCAGTAACTGAGTAACATCAATCACAAACTCCAACATTATATAGACACAAGAGGTATGTTACTGAACTAAAGCCTTGGACCTTCATCTTATTACTTATGATTATGTCATTCAGTCCTGTATTTGTATGACAAGAGGCTTCATGATAATTTGATTGGAAATCCTACATGATCTCGTCCTGCAGAAGATAATTCTGTGTTTCCTAAAGGATTTTTGGGGTGGTGGACCCTAGTAGGGGTCTGGCAGCATGCTCCCCCTAAAGAAAATGTCAAACAATTTAAAGCTAAAAGCATCAATCTGCTGCAATTTGAGAGCAATATTAAGAGGCTAGATCTTTGTGCTCTAGTAGTGGTGTAATGTATCTAAGTACATATAGGCCACTCAAGTACAGTACTTAAGTACAATGTTGCGATACTTAAACAAATATTGCAATTTTTACTTCACTACATTTCTTTGACAATATTAGTTACTAGTTACTTTTCAGCTTCAGATTCCTAATACAAAATGTAAATCAACAAATAAACTATGATGTAGTACAAAGTATATACAGTGATTCAATTTGGCTCCACCTTTACCAGCTGCAACATATAAGTGATGAAGACAATAATTAATCTATAGTTATAATCCAATGATATATATTAATCAAAAAAGGGCCGTAATGCATAACGAGTTAAACTACTTTTCTTGTTTTGTAAAGCAGTGCCAAATGTGATCCTCTTTGCTAACAGGTTGCTGTGGACATGGAGTTTGCAAAGAACATGTACGAGCTCCACAAGAGGGTGTCGCCCACCGAGGTCATCATCGGATGGTGCGTCAGCTGAGCGAATTTAAAATATCAAAGATTGAATTAGAGAAGAAGAAAAAAAACAATCTCACCACAGTGACATCTGTCCTCACAGGTACGCCACTGGCTTTGACATCACAGAACACTCGGTGCTCATTCACGAGTACTACAGCCGCGAGGCCACCAACCCCATTCACCTGACAATGGATACAGCTCTGCAGAGTGGCAAGATGAGCATCCGCGCCTATGTCAGGTGGGCTGATATTCCTGTCGTAGACTCTTTTGTTGTTGTTGTTGTTGTGTGTGTGATCAGCTACAGATTGAGACTGTGTGTTTGAATGTTCTTGTGTATCTCCCTCACAGCGCGCAGATGGGTGTGCCAGGAAAGACAGTTGGTGTGATGTTCACCCCACTGACTGTCAAGTATGTCTACTATGACACTGAGAGGATAGGCGGTAAGAATACAAACAGTAAATTAAGATGATTGTTTGGAAACGAATGCTTCCTGACTAAATATCTCTTATCGTGATATTTTTTTTGTAGTTGGGGAGAAATATATTAATTGCAGTGTCTGTAAACCTAATGGTGTGCATGTCATTAGAAAATCATCTAAGATACTGCCTATGTGGCCGTTCATATGTTGCTAAAAACGCATTGAAAACACCAGCCATGCTGCTTTTATCCTGTTACCCAAGGTGCTTAGGGGGTGATGCACTACTACTGCGCCTGCCATTACTAAGCAACCAAAACCTGCCTTCGGCCACAGCAATGATAATGAAGTTGCGGTAATTTAACAGTAGGCCTCATTGACTAGACTAAACTAAACACGGATAAGTGGATTTCCAGCGCCGTAAATCCCGCACAGTAGCTTTACTGCTCAATTTGGCTGACCTTTCAACCGGATGTTCAGTCCTTGTAAGCCAAGTAAAACAATCTGTGGAACAGATGGTAAAGCTCCGGGAAATCCTGCACTAAAATGATTAACCTCTCCATTTTTTTTGCCGAAAACTGATATTTACGGAAGAACGAAAAGATATCTGCCAGCTGTGATTGGTTGTTCCTTGTCACATGACATGCGTACCAAAAGTTGCACTATTTTCATCTCAGGATGACGGAGCAAAAACCGCGACATGTAAATGGCCCCTAATGATGTATTTTTCCAAGCCAATATCATTTATTCTAACTGACTTAGTACTTGGCTGGTATTTGCAGTTCTGTACTCTAACAATCCCAACTGTTTGTTGCAGTGGACCTCCTGCAGAGGACGCGCGTACTTCCGAGTCGCACCAAGGGGCTGACCTCTGACCTGTCCCAGGTGGCTGGCTCTGCAGCCAGAGTACAGGACATGCTGACCACCATGCTGGCATACATTGATGACGTTGTGGTGAGTGTTGGAGCAAGTGGACCGATGGTGCGACTTCAATCAGATATGATTAGTCCATTGTTTCTAAGCATAGGAAATGACAAAGCAACGCCCTCTGCTGTTTGTTTTTTGCTGGTCCTGTTCCAGCGCTGCTGTGTCTCTAGAGATCATTTGTGAAGTAATCAGGTTTATGGTGGCTGTAAAGCTAATGCTGTTCGATCTGTCTCAGTCTGGCAAAGTGGCGGCAGACAACAGCGTGGGTCGCTTCCTGATGGACCTGGTCAACAAGGTGCCCACCATCTCAGCCGAGGACTTTGAGAACATGCTTAATTCCAACATCAATGTAAGTGCTCCTCGTCTGCTAGAAAACTGCATCTATGTTAATTTCTCAGATAAAGAATTTTTCACTGATTGTTGTTTTTTGCCTCATTGGATCTAGTTCATCTCCTTCAGCTTTCCATTATCAATGTACTTGTTGCACTACAGCATAAATTCAGGCTTTGTTTCCTTTTGTTTGTGCTCTCCTGGCTCCTCTTGTCTAATTCTTCTTCACTTAGCTCTTGTCCATCATAGGAACACGAGTAGTTGTTACATCTGGACTCATGTTACATCACCATGAACAAGCTCGTGATAACCAAATGTAAACGCTCTGTTTTGTTTGTTGCAGGACTTGTTGATGGTGACCTACCTGTCCAACCTCACCCAAGCACAGATTGCTCTGAATGAGAAGCTGGTGCTGCTCTGAGGCAGATTTCATTTGAAGTGATTCATATTTAATTTTTTACAATTTTTTTTTTTCTTTTTTTTTTTTTGGCAGAGATGAATAAAGATGTTTAACAGTCATACCGTGTTAACCCTTAGGTCTTTGGTAATGTTACTACAAATAATGCAATTTAATTTTTATGGAAAAAGGTTGTATTGCTAATAATGTAATCTGGCTTTTTTTGAATAAATGTCCCAGAGCTCAGTTATCACTGTTAACGCCTTCGGTGCAGCTTTCATGATGTTTGACGTTCTAGGGCAGCAACTGATGATTATATTAATTATTGATTATTAGACACATGACGAGACATATCTAGTAATTTTCTTAACTAATGGGTTAATCATTTGCTCTATAGAATTTCCTGGAGCCTGTAGTGATGTTTAAAATTGCTTGTGTCCAAAACAAAAATATTTTCAATTTACTTTCATATAAGTCAAGGAAGTCAAACTTATATTTAACTGACAATGAAGATATTTTTACATTATTATTCTTTTGATTGGTGTATATTGCCAAAAAAAGTCCAAAGACTTAAATGCAAGAAGACAGTTGATTATTTTTTTTATTAATTCTCTACATAAATATACATTCAAATCAGAAGCATAGTTAAATCCTTCACATTGTGACAGGCCATGCCCGGCTTGAGGTACATGTGAAGCTTAGTGCAAGAAAGTGGGCATGAGGAAGTCACACAGATACGATTACAGCCTGTGTGGGTAGCAAATGTCTGCTGGTTCACACAAAAATCAGATTTGCCATTGCTAAGCTGTTGCAGAGTCACACTGGTGTCCTCAGGGTTTGATATCTGAGTCGGTGCCTTTCTCGGCTTTGCTCTGAGGCTTCACCATCCTCTCCAGGGCAGCGTAGCTCTGCACCGCTCGGTCGTACACGGAGTCGCCGGTCGACTTCATGATGGTCGCAGCCTGCTCCGGGTAGTAGAGGGAGGCGCTCACGGTCATCAGGCCCACGGGGTAGATTAGCCTTTTCGCCCGGGAGCCTCTGGCAAGAAACAGCCCCAAGATACCGGTGAAGCCGATGACTCCCGCCCGGGGATAGAAGTCCTTCGGCGGGTTCTTCAAGTAGGCGTAGGAGTCACTCCCAAACTTGACAGCACTTTGAACTTTGGGTTTAATTTGCTCATAGGTGCCCCGACACCAGCCCGTGTATGGCTCCGTTAACTTCCTGATGGTGGCGACTCTCTGCTCCAGCTGACCCGCTTCAGGAGGCTCCTCGTACGGAGACTTCTGCTGCGGAGGAGCGCTGTACATAGTCAGCTCGTCCCGGAGCAGAGGAGCGGTGGTCTCTGTCTCTCCGTCACCGGCAGGAGCAGCAGCGAACACGGGGCTCGGCAACAAACTCTCAGCTCCCGGCATGGCGCTACCCGTCACCTTCAACATGATCCCTGCCGGCTCATGCATTCACTACGGTGTCTGAGGAGGGACATTACTGTGGCTACTCAAAGCGACAATCACGCCGCCTTTTAGTTCACGTTTATTACGTTTGAAGAACACAAGGTAGTATTTGGAAAGGTTGATATATACGGGTTGTTTACCATAAATACATGAAGTGGTATAAAATGGTTATTCCATTATTTATGGTATTTAATAGGCAGTTACTGGTGGAAAATGTAGGCACTTGTTTTACTGTGAGGTTCTTTAATTCAGTATTTACTTACTTATGCCACTTTATAATTAAATTTGACTACATTTTACAACTACTTTGCAGATTAACCTTTTAAAATACCAAACACGATGTTCTTATAATAAATGTTACCTTGTTATATATCAAACTGCTTATTAAATACAGTGTACAACAACATACAAAGTACCTAAAATAACTCAAACCAAAGTCGATATTAAAATGCTGCTAGACGTTAATGCATCAGTTATGATATTCTGACTACTTCGACACTTGCAAGATTTTAAGTAATGGGACTTGCCCTTTTTATTTTTTCTACTTCTACTCTTATTTTACTATAATTTTTTACTCAAATGTTTTTTTAATTGATTCACTGTTTGTTTAGTATGTTATTAATTAACTACTAAATGTGTTTTAGTTTATTTTATTATTATTTTTAACTGATTATTACCAGTCTTGTGCTTAATTCACTTACTATACTGTTAACATCGCTGTGACTTTTGTATTTATTTATCCATTCCAGTTTTCATTCATTCATTTTCTTCGAGGGTTTCCGCATCCGTCACTATGACGTCACTGGTTGCCACGGATCTAGCGTCAACAGCAACAGTCCAAACATTCAATAATGTAGCAGCAGTGAAACGCAGGCTACATATTCAGGCAAACGCTAATAATTTATGTTTATCGAATAGTTTACAAGGAGTTGTATAGTTGTTCCTGTTTGGGGATATAACGTTAACTATATAGCGTTATATTTAAAAAAAGGTAAAAGTAGATTAGTTCAATTCTGAATGGAGTGTCTTGGAGTATCATCCGCTCAGCACCTGCAGGCTCTCTCTACCTTGTTATCAACTCAGCAGGATGATGATGGTGATGAAGACTGTAAAGTAAGATATTGTACAATCAGATTTTGATTGTTAATTTATTACATTCGGCCTTAATGCAATAGTAAATGATAATACTGTACACATGTCTCAAATATATGAAGAGTCTTTAAAAGAAGATGCACAAAGTAACTTTAGTGCTTTTGTCTTTTAACTGCCTTGTAGTGACTGAAGATTGAATGACTGGATGCCATGAGTGTTTATTTGAGTGTTAAGATAAAGCCTTAAGTGACGGCTGCCGTTTTTCAATATTTATTTAAGATGTCTTATTGTTTTTACGTCATATATTCTAACCCATGGCAGAGGAAGTTTTTAAGTGTATGTCTGTTAAGCAAAAGACAAATTAACATGCGAGAGGCCTAAACTCTGTTGGTTTACAATAATATTAGTTAATCTCAACAGAATGTGACTGCTTGTGCAGGACTGGGTCCTGGACACATCGGCCCCCCACCCAAAAGAGATAAAGAAGGTAATGCTTTGTATTTCTCTTGCAAAATAACTTCTAAAAAAAAAAACTCCTCAGTCATTATAGTAACTCAGATGACTTGATGAAATGTACAAACAGAACTTATGTGTGTGTTGCTGTTCATTTAGTGTCAACTGTCTATGAGAAGAAGAACAGCAAAGATATATGGAGCGAGGAGGAGGTGGCTGAGGGCTCCCAGTATGATGATCTTGCTGACCCGCGGCCACAACCTGAGTAAGACTACAGGGCTGAAAGAGACGCACACCAAAGGGTTCACTGGTGTATAAAGGGGGAAACACGGGAAAGCAGACGCATCCTCTTTTTTCTCACTGAGATTGCACCTTCCCTCATCCTCACTTCTTGGTTTTATTTAAGCCTTAAAACCAGAAAAGCCAAACTGTCCCATGTTATTACTTCCCTGGGTTACCCTTGTGCTATATACCAAATATATAGAAGTGAAAAGCATGGCTGATTAAGAGATGGTGGGCCCCCTGGGCACGGACATACAAAAGGCTGCATCACCTCTCCTACATAAGAGCAAGACACATAGACTATAGTTGTTTAGCCTCTTTTCGTAGTTGATTTGTGTCCCATCTTGTGGTCATTTTGTGTCTCTTTGCAGTTGTTTTGCATCTCTTTGTAGTTGCTTTGTGTCTCTTTGTGGTTGTTTTGGTGTCTTTATGGTCTTTTTGTGTCTCTTTTTAGTCAATTTATGTTTATTTGTTGTCATTTTTAATCTCTTTGTAGTTATGTTGTGTCTCCATGTGGTCATTTTGTGTCTCTTTATAGTTGTTTTGCATCTCTTTGTGGTCATTTCCCCCTTGTCACAGTCATTTTGAGTATCTTTGTGTCTCTTGCAGTTGATTTGCATCTCTTTGTAGTTATTTTTTGTCTCTTTGTGGTCTTTTTGTGTCTCCTCATGGTTGGTATGTGTCTCTTTGAGTGACATTTTGTAGGTGAAGGCCAGGGGGGGGCCCTCACACTTTGGGCCTCTGAGCCTGTGGCCGGTAGACCCGTTCAGTAATCCATCCTGAAAGGGAGAACAAAACTGTCTGAAGAATTTAGCATTATTACACCTCAGCTGACACTCAGCTGAGACTTTAAGCCGTGCTTATTTCTGCATGTTGTTGTTCTCTATTGATTCAGTCCAGTGTGATGTGAAATTACTTTAAAGTTTATAACCTTTGTGTTCAGGTATGAAATAATCCTGAAGCAGAGTGTAGGAACAGAGGATCTGTTCTTGGGCTTGAACAGAAAGGACCCATCCTCCATGTGTTGTGAAGCCATGCTGGTAATTTATCTACCGCCACAGGATTTTTGTATTGAAATACATGTACTTGTTTTGATACTGAAAAAAAAGAAATGTACAAGGATGTGATCAGGGACAGCAAGAGACATACAATCAGGATGCTCCCATTGCTAAGTGTGGGCTGGTTTTGGAGAATACATTTTAAGAACTCGATCATTTCAGGCTCAACCAAGCCAGTAAACATTTTTGAAACTATGGAAAGTATAAAAACTGTGAAGGAGCAAACAATTCAACTGTTAAGTTGCACAGATAAGGCAGAGTAAGTGTAACTGTTTTCGAAAATCAGATCAGAGTTAAATAAGAATATTAAAAATATTATTTTTTTTACCAGAATCTAGGAAATAAGGATCTATTACAGCCTTAGCTAGTTTATTAGAACTGAAAAAGCAGTGTATATTAACATCGTAATGCGGGTGAGATATCTGTATCCTCTTTGAATGAAAGTAAAGATTGAACATGTGCACAGTGTACAATATTAAAGATGCTGACTTGTTCCCTCTCTTAGGTGAAAATCAAACTACCAGACACTGAAGCAACAGATGTAGTCCTGGATGTAAAAGAAAAGTTCCTTGATCTACGGACGCCAAAATAGTAAGGCGTGCTTTGAAAATGTTCTCTTTCATTTTTAATCCCCTCAAGACGGAGCAGCCTCAGCTCAGACCAAAACCTCCCATTTCCAGACATTTCCTTTGAATCAGAGGTTCACGTCAAGATCTGAGCTTCGATTTGCTGTTTTCCCGCCGCTCTTAACATCCTCCTCCCTCAGATACATGCTCTCTCCCTTCTGCTCTCACTCTCCTAACCTGTCTGCTCCCCTCTCTTCAGTAAACTGGGTCTTCATCTCCCACATCCGACCCACAGCCACGGGGGAAAGGCTCAGTTCTTCAGTGAGAGGGGGGAACTGGAGGTGACTCTGCTCATCAAACGTCCCATGGATTTTATCAACATGCAATGAGAAACACTGACTACAGCCAACGACTATTCAAAAGACATGGAGTAGTTGTTTCTACATGTCTTGTCTGATTCCATGAGTATTAAAATATGTTTTTTTCAGATAAACATTTGTCTTATTATATGTTTGTTTTCATAATTTCAGGATGAATTCCTTTATTATGGATGATAATACAATAACTGTGATTGCAAAACACGATCAAGGGGAAAGACATACATTAGGTTAAAATAGTTTCACGTCTGTCGTTACACAATACTCACACGGCCATGTGTGTGGGTATGTTGTTGGTGACTTTTAATTGTTCCTTTTCTTTGGGAAGATGCCCACCTCGTTTGGCTCTCAGACTACTGATGCCTCATTAACTTTGGCTGAAAGTTGGAAGGCATTTGTGCACAGAAGAGCGTCTGTGGATTTTATGTCCCATGTCTTTCGTTGTTGTCACACTAGGAAGGGATTATTTCAGGGCCAGTAAAGACAGCACAAGTTAAATTTTATTAAAAAATGCTTTATTCGCTGCCCCAATGGTTTAAGATGAGCAAACATGAAAAACATTAACAAATATAAAGCACAATCTAAAGATGAAAAGACAGGAGCAGGAAAACGTTTAGAAACAAGAAATAATGGCAATAAACAATCCATAGTTGACCATTAACTTTTAGAAATATTACAGTGACCAATAACTATGTCAACATACATGTGATCACATAAGAATTGTATTGATATAGACTTGGAAAAAGTCTGAACCATGTGTTTCTGTGATGCTACACTGTCCATCTTTTTATTGTTTTCTGCCAGCAGCAACTTAACATTCGAGGAAGTGGACTTGTAACTGAAACATTGCTAATTAAAACCTAAGATCAGCAGGTAAGTGGGACCAAATAAATGAAATCTTAACATCCAGAAAAACAATTAAGGTCCTGCGTATCAGTGAAGCTGCTCATTGCACAAAGGAGAAACTGCTCATCTTGCAAGTCTTGATGTTAAAGTGCAGTGGTGAAAATTATCTAAATGCAAGTAGTACTGTACTTAATATTTTCAGGCATTTTACTTTAGCATCACCATTTTAGGTCAATTTATGCTTCTCACTACATTGCAGAGTGAGATATTGCATTTTGCATGTCACTATTTAACAGCTCCTTTTTAAAATTAAATGCAGTTTACACATATATAATTAACAATGAGCCAATGATATGATAGTATTACACTCTGTATTATGAGTATTTCTTTACTTTTGATAAGCTACTTTAACTACAATTTGTTGCGAATACTTCTGTTATTTAAAAAAAATCTGGAATGCATGACTTTTAAACTGTGATATTGCATATTTTGCATAAGAAAATGATTTGAATATATCTTCTACCACTGTTAAAGTGTGAATTGTAAGGTAGGATATTTAAAAATAAACATGTAGAAGCAGCATCCCTGGGTGAGCCGTGCCACACCTCCCAGCGCCGTTACCGCAGCAGCGGCGGCGGTGGTGGTGGTGTGATCACGTGACGCCTGCATTTCCGACACAACAATACAACATTGGTCTGCATTCACGCTCCCACTCTTTCCCCCCTCCCTCTCGGTATGGCGGACGGCGAGAGGTCCCCGTTACTATCGGATCTGGGAGATGGTGGTCTTGGCAGCGGTAACGGCGGGGTGTCTCCCGGTGCAGCGCCCTACGGTGTGCCCATCAAACCACAGAGTGAGTATCCATGGTGCCCTCTCTCCTCCAGCCTCAATTAGCCTAGCTCTAACGTTAGCCGCTAACCTTAGCGGCTAACGTTGTGCCAACTAGCCAACCTAGCAACCGTTACATGTTAGCTTTGGTAGCGTTAGCTAGCTAGCTCTACTGAGCACTGGCAAAACCACGCGCTAAGCTTTAGGTTTGCAGCTCAGTAATACTATCACAACAAATATATTTAATTCACGTTTCCTGACGCACATTTATGAATATATTTTAACAGCTGTACGGTGGCCACTGTGCTAGCAAGCTAGATAACTACCGCTTAGCTAGCATCTGAGAAACACCTGATTTGATTGACACATGAGACAGCGAATACGGAGACTGTTGAGGGATGATGCGACCGCTGTGAGCGACAGCTCACATTGGGAGGGACTGTTGGTAGATACGGTAATGGCAGATGTATGGCTCCTAATTGTGTTTGCTTTCAAAAACTGGTGTGTTCAGCCTGCTAGATCAGTTGCATCTGGTTCCTAGGTTAAACTGTCTCATTTACTACCTCATTCCTTATCAGATTTCTGTCCCTCACTAATACTAGACTCCTATTTGTTGAAAATAACCCCCAATCAGCATTCCAAGAATGTTTTTCTTATAAAGCTCCTTTCAGTCCACCTCGAGACTAAATCTTATTAACTTGTTAATCGCAACATAAGAGGTTAGTTGTTACGGGAATTTAGGCCTTTTTTTCTCAGTCTGTTGCACAACTCCTGTAATTGTGTTCCCTCAACAATCCCTTCATTTGTTACTGGTCGGACTACTTTTGTATTCAACATTTTCTCCCTTCCTTGCCTCCGTCCCTCTCCAGGCTTCCCTCCGTTCCCCAGCCCGACTCAGCCCTCGGTTCTCCTGGGGGAGGACCCGCCGCCCTACTCCCCTCTCACCTCCCCGGAGAGTGGCAGTGCGCCTGTTATCAGCTGCAGGGTGTGTCAGAGCCTGATCTCCGTGGAGGGAAAGATCCACCAACATGTGGTGAAGTGTGGGGTTTGCAATGAAGCTACGGTATGTTATCAAAGTAACGCACACAAAGCTTTTTCCAAATCACACAAACTAGGCCTACAAAAGACAAATTAATTATGAACTTTCATAAAAACAAAATGGATAAAAGACACCTTGGAAAATACATATTGTATCCATAAAGAATAACAAAATTCAACTTAGTTATTGTACACAGACACACACTTAAGACTGGGGCACTTACGCTTGAGAGGTATTTCTTGGGCAGTTTACAGCGAATGCGCATTAGCATGTTCATTGCATTTCCATTCACATACCCTACAACGGTAGAGCGAAGCAGACACACTGTCCTCGTCTAAAACAACACAACTCTCTCAATCAGGCGGGTCTTTCAGCTTTGGCGTTATCTCATATGGGATCAGTTTATCTCCCATCTCTACTGTATGCAGTTGAAAGACACATTCATGCACAAATACATGACCAGTATCTTACTTTAAAGGGTTGTTTCACACAAATTACAAACTTCTCGTGGTGTCTACCCACACAGGAGATTTGGTTTTATTCAACTCAGCCTTTGAGATATGTGTCTCTAAGATTTCTGCCTCCATCCCAGTACAATGGAGGTGAATGTCATTTTGTTTTTGGGACTCAAAGCACTGAAAATTCATCCCAGAATCGGCGTCCTCATTACTCTGGATAATCCACAGAGCTCACAGTGAGGTCACTAACAGTCCCTATAATCCGTCTGGAAATGGTTTTTGGTAGAAAGTTGTTTTTAGAAAGCATTTGTTTTGTTGCTATTTGGTTGAACTAACCCTTAAATGTGCTGGCTATAGTTTTTACACATCATGAAAAACCTTTATAAATTAGATGGGCTGTTTTTATAAGTTTCCACTCTGAACAATGCCAACCAACATCAACTGGGTCAGCCTCAGTATCCAGATCCAAGGACTCCTTGACAGTGGGAGTTGATTTATTTAGTCTGGTGAGGTGAGTGCGATGTCATTTTAATTTATATGTGCACCAAACAATCACAGTGAGACATGCTGTAGATGTGCTGTAGGTCCTCTTCCAGATGTTAGCTACAGGTTTATGATGTGAACTCGGGTGTCGACAAATCACAGGATACACAACATGAATATTTAACACTTGTATGAATTCCAAAGCTAAGCGGCGGTCTTCTGATCTCTCAGGACCGTTTGATGTTGTGAAGTCTCGTCAGTGTTGTGTGATGCCACGCTCTACAAATATTCTGTAAGCTCCTTGCGAGTAGACGAGAGATTTGGAATGAAAAGCACATGTAAGTGTTTGACTTATTAATGCCATTGGTCAGAATGAACCACCGAGACTCGGAGAAAAAGCCTCTACTTCAGCAACACGGACAGCGCCATGGAGATATATATATATATATATATATATATTTATTTAATTTTTATCAAAGCACAGAAAGAGAGACACTTCTTTAAACAAGCTGTCTGGTGGAGTCACAAGCATTGTCTACTAATTTGCACTAATTCATTCAGGATGTCAACTCTCCTACTGCCTTTACATTCATACCACTTGTTTACCATCATGGGGTTTTTCCTGATCTGGCAGTCTGAAGTCTAAAATGTTTGACCAAGACTGAGTGAAATGCAGATGGAAAAATCAGGCACCAACAACACCAAACGCAGTCGATAGAGCCCACCTGTCCTCTTGATAAAGGTCCCATTGTTGTGTTTTTATGGTAGCTATCACAGTTGATTTGACAGCGATACAGTTATGTATCTGGTTATTTGTTGCGTCAGGTGTGGAAAGGCAACACAAACAACAAATGTACATCAGATACACCTTTTCTTTTACCTTCCTGGTCTATGAAAGTTTAGATCATCACTTTGAGGGAAAGGGCCTCTCAGAGAAATGGATCTAAACGATTGGGCCATTAGGAGAGTTGAGCTGAAGATAAAACGCGTTAAATAAGCTCCTCTGTTGTGCGTCAGCGGCAATGCAGATCGGTGTACAGATGGAAGTTGGAATGTGAAATGTGTCCAGATGTACCAACTGGCTAAATGAGCAATTCACAGACGGAGGGAACATATGTACATGTGCAGAAATATGTCCAGGGTGTGCAAAAAGAGATCGTTGGACAACCTACAGAGAACACACAGACGAGGGTGCATTCGGACTGAAATTGGTTTCATCGTCTGCATGACAGATGGAAGTTGCGTCTTACAGAATCTTGTTAAGACTCCAGTATTGACTCCAATCCAAAGATTTGTATAAGAATGTGGACAGCAGGCAAAGCATAGGTTTGATCTACAGGCTCTGTGCTGGTGTTAATGGGGCTCTCTTTCTGCTTGTGTGTCAGTCTTCTGTTGTTAATTAGCCTGATGAACGAGCCATGTAGCTTTTAATTCAACAAGTAGCGTGAGAAAACAATCAGAAGTTAACATTTGTACATTTCACTGCCACAGATTTCTGTGTCTTCCATCGCTGTTAACGTGGTAATATTCACGAGGCAGAACGTCTCTTTTCTTGACGCGGGACACGCCGATCGAGCAGAAGCAACGATTATTATATATCGAGACGTCAGATTCAAACATTCATAAAGAACATCGTACAATTTACAGGTTGTGGGAAAGATTACTCTCCTGCAGCTGCATGTTATTTTGTTTTGAATTAATCCATTTTTGTTTTAAAATGGGCAGAATAACAGAAACGGCTGTCAGTATAATGTTCTACATTTCAGCAGCAGCCTCCAGAATGACATTACAAGCTTCATGAAGGTGGGATTTATTGCAGGACTGTTGTATTAGACTGGGCTAAAAGTAATTTAAATGTTGACACTGACAAATCTCTGTATTACAGTCATTTTAATAAGTAAAGGTGACTGAAATTTGACAATCCCCCGTGTAATGACTACATGTAATATTAGTTTTCCCGCCCTATCATTACCTCCCTCCCTCCAGTGCAGACACAACCTCCCCTCCCACAGCTGTTGTAAGTGATATTGATGACGGAGCAGGACGCTCACAGTACTCAATCTGATCGGGTTAGTCAGAGTGTAATGACGCAGGGGAGAGAACCATCAGCAGGACATTCTGTTGGGTCCAGAGGAAGGCGTGGTAATGGTAGAGCTGTGAGTGTTTGTTCTCTGCGTGAGCTCAAACTATGTGCTGGACAGCTGATTTTCGTGAGATGACACAAAGTAGGCTGCACCAACAAGACCTGGTCGTAAAAATAATATATTATGCGACCGATGTGAATGCTAAATACTGTAGAGCGTACAGCAACAAAAACCTTCTAATATACTGTAGCAGCCGACTGTGCAGGACCAAATCTTATCGTATGAAAGTCACACTTTTGATGCCTTTTTCCATATTTTCCCCGATATTGATGTTAAGGTGCATCACTAGGTACACCTGTTGCTTTGCAGAAAGTCCCGGAAGGCTTTAATAAATGTCATCGCTCCAGACTAACTTGTTTCATTGGTTTCACTGGTGTGATTCCATTTATGTTTACTGGAATATCAATAGAGACACCCAAACTCTTTCACAGAGCCTTTTTGGTGGCGCAATAATACATTTTAAGCGTTTCTCGCAAAGAATGAGCACTCGATGCTTGATGTGTTGGTTCAAGTCTTAAATCACCTATTTAATATTACTATAATAATAATAATAATAATAATAATAATAATAATAATAATGTGATGACTCTGTTCAGTCGTTTCAACAGCAACGAGCAGCTCCTGAACCGATGAGGTCGACGGAGCTCCACCGGCATCACGATGTATCATGAAAACTGTCCCTTGATTCCTGCAGTACAGCAACTTTCTAATACCTCCCAGAATACCCCCCTCTCTCTCTCTCTCCCTGAAGTAGTATTGGTTAATTCTCATCCATCAAGAATAATTGGCTTGTTATCTACTCCCATTGTAATTCCTCGTTCTCCTGTCTTCTTATCTCCTCCTCCTGTGCGCCTGCACGTCTCCCTCTGCAGCCCATTAAGAACGCCCCAGCAGGGAAGAAGTACGTTCGCTGCCCCTGCAACTGTCTGCTCATCTGCAAAGTCACCTCCCAGAGGATCGCCTGTCCCCGGCCATATTGGTGAGAGATTCTTTTCCAAGTGTGTGTGTGTGTGTGTGTGTGTGAGTGTGAGTGTGAGAGAGAGAGAAAAAACAAGGTGCAGTGGGAGCAGCAGTCCCCTCAATTAAGGCTGTGCTCCTGGCGCAGTTTGCATGCGGTGCTCAGTGAGTCGGATGAGGAAGTAACAGCCTCATTAGAACGCGTTTCACTTCTGCACACCGTCCGTGTTACGTCGGCGTGGGTAGTATATTGTATTCTGTGTGAGGTTGGGCCAGATCTAATAGAGCAATGGGGATTGTGTTGAGGTTTAATCTGCACCTTGCAGCTAAATATCACATTTATTTTGCATGTAGCTGCTTTAATTATGAGCTAAATTCCTGCTACTATACAAATACTCACATAGCAATTTTATTTATATATATATACTATATTATTAGAGAGCAAAATGAGCACATACGTCTCTTTAGAACATAACCGGTGAAAGTAAACTGTTCCATGAGTTATAATAAATGTCATTTTTTATTTTCCAGTCCATGAAGACGTCGGATGCTAGAAGTTCAAATACAGTTTGGGAAAGAAAAGTTTCAGTCGGTATCTGTCAGGAAATGAGCGAAACAAAAAGCCATAAAACACTGTTTACAGGCCCAACAGATGTGTTGGGATTGTTTTATTGTAAAACAAACAGAAGGCTGATTTCAGTGTCTGGAAATGAACGGCTTTGGCAGCTCATCTGAACATCGTGCTGCTGCCGTGTGACGCTGGTAAAGAGAGATGCCGGGCCTTTTACATTGTTAGCCATCTTTTATTGAGAGGGTTAATTTCCTGCTGCAATGTAAGTCTGTATAATTCTAAACTGTGCATCACAAAATCTGTTGTTATGATGATCTGCAGCACATAATCCATCTGTCAGCTTCAGTGCAGATCATAAGTCTGAAAGCTAATTAGAGTAAAAATTCCTTTTTGTCATAAATACACAAAGAAATGAGTGTTTTCAAACCAAATGACATATCTTAAAAAAAAAAACATATTTCACAACTTACCCATAAACCAGTAATCTGCTTTGAAATGATCGCACATTACGACTCTTTAGGAACAAAGCAGGAGTTTCAGTGTGAACTTTGTTTGAAGATATTGTCTGTGAACTGTGTGTGTGTGTGTTTATTGTATCACAGGTATTCTTTAGATTAAAAGACTCTTTGTTTCCAGAACACAACATCATTTAGCTTTCATAGCCGGCAGGGGGATCCTGCATGTTTCACAAAATGTGTGGAAAACATCAGCCATGCTGCTTTCATCCTTTTATCCAAGCTGCTCCTGGGAGGGGGCTGCGTGCTGCGATGATGATGATGATGAAGTTGCCATAAATTAGCAGTCGGCCTCACTGACTCGCCTAAACAAAGTCATTTCTAGCCCCGTGAATCCCTCACAGTAGCTCTACTGTCTCTCAACACGATGTTGTGACGTCCAAAGAATATCTACCAAAGAAAGTAGAGGCGTCTGCTGCCGTCATTGGTTGTTCCTCGTCACGCGACATGACGCTCTGCAGGGTCCCAGAAGTAGAACTGTTTTTATCTTTGGGCGCAGCCGCCGCGCCCTGAAAAATAGTCTCTCCGGAAAAGGTTGTGAGGATTCCTCTGAGGCCACTCGTCCTGCATCACATGTCTCTGGAGGGTTTACCTCCTCGTGTCACCGCTTAGCATTCAGTCGCATCTCCCTGCTGCTGTCTGATCAGGGATGCTGAGCGACCGTGGTAGTCTGAGGAGGAAGTTGATTAAAGAAAAGCAGTCTTAATGATAATGAGCAGATTGGCTGCTGATGAATCCCCCAAAAAAGTGAAACTGTCGTCAGCCTTTCCACACCGACGCCTCGGGCGGTGCTAATTAGCTTGCACTTACGCTGAGTGATATCTTGAGTAGGTTGTGGTGTGAATGTTCATTTTCTTTTTCTGTCTGCGTCTCTTCTAGTAAGAGGATAATTAATCTGGGTCCAGTTCATCCTGGTCCGGCCAGTCCTGATCCCCAGCCGGCCGGGGCCCGGGTCTCCTGTGGGCACTGCAGCAACACTTTCCTGGTACCACACTCACTCTGTCTAAACAGAATAATGTTCATTCATTTCACTTCTGTGGCCTCGAAGATTTAGAATCACAACACAGACACAGTTTAAGCAATAGTTCAGCTTTTTGGGTGTTTTGCCTATTTGCTTTATCGCTGAGCGTTGGATGAGAAGATTGAGTCTCACGTCTGTCTGTCACATCCACAGCCACCAGCGGGCTAGCTCAGCTAGGTTTAGGCTTTCAGACAGACATGAGAGTGGTATTGATCGTCTGGTCGTCTATGAACCTTTTCCATAAAGGTCTACTAACTAGCTTTTTTACTTCTATTTATTTTTCATTTCTTTATACAAAATCTAATTCATTTTCTCTTCCTCTCCACTATTATGAAATTATTATTCTCTAATTATCAACAATGGCATAAACAACATGTATTGATCGCTCTGATCCGCCTCTGACGAGCAGGAGGAATTGCAACATCAGAACAATATATTCAGTCTCTGGCACAGGTCCCTCTACGGCCTCTTTCGATGATCTATATCTGAAATAAAATCACATGCCCTACATGGAGCGAAGACCCGTTAAAGGCGTTTATGAAGCGGTGATGCATTACTATGTACAGTAGCTGAATAATAACACTGCTCTTGGCTTCGGAGTGAAGCTTTTAGCATTTGTCCGCTGAAATATCTGGTGACCCTTTCAGCAGGCCTGCGAGGTATCTGTTGTGAAATGTACTGTAGCGCAGCCAAACAGTGACTTACCGAAAAGACCCAAAAACATCTTTGCACCAGGCCAAGTAAATGTTGAGTTATTGGTGCAGATCAATAACCCCATCAACTCTGCGCTGATGTATATATATCTGGGCCATTTTGTGCTGAAGGGGGGGGGGGGGGGAGAGAATTTAAACTCACTGCTCTCTAACAATGTGTGCGACAGGTAAAGATGATGTGGATATATACAGTATATACGACCAAAGAGAGGAGGGCGGGAAGGAGAAGGGGAAGAATGGCGTTAGACGTCGGATGGATGATTGAGGGTGTTTAGCATTCATCGGACCTTTGCTGCCTGCTTAAAGACAGGGAGGCTGAGTGAAAATACTAATCTGTGCCCTGGGTGGCGGTGCGGTGATCCTTTAGTCGCAGATCTACTGATAATGTTCTCTGTGCTCCCAATACAGAGTGTTTTCCTCTTCAAAACAAGACGAATGCACAGTGTATTCTGCCCTGCAGGCTGTACAAATGTATAAACGCGCAGCCTGAGAGGAGACTGTTTCTCTTTGTCATCTCTTTGGCTGGTGCTGAGCACCTGTTGGCAAGAGCTGCGATGCTTTTTGTTAAGTTTCTTAAAGTATGTCATTAATCCATGAAGCAGCAGCAGGCGTGTTTATATAACGCCGCCTGTAATCCCACAAGGAATTTATTTTAAGTTTGTACATTTTCAAAGTATTTGTCCCATCAGTGCAGATTTGTACTCTCATTGATTTAAATAGGGAATTATTCAGCAATAAGTCATTTAATCATCACTAGATAATGTATACTGTAGATAATTTAAATGAAACATTTGCTTCTCAAATGTGAGGATTGTTGCTTTTCTCCATTTTCTATCATTGAACTGCTTTTTATTTATTCTTTTACAGACGTAATCTATTAGTCAGCTGTTTTACTCCAGTGTGCAGCGTTACACCCCCTCCATAAGTCCCTCAGGTCTCTTCTATACAAACCTTCTGGTCAGCACAAACGCATTAAGAAAATAACATGAATTCCAAATGTCAACACATTGTAAACACCTTTAACACCTCCACATGTGTGCACTGCCATCTTCACCTTTCTTCACCTAATGCATGATAACTCTCTGTATATGTTCATATAGTGAGCAATGTCTTCTGATTGTGAATGTAAGCCAGAGTATGAACTCGTTATGACTTCCGTGTCAAATGTGCGTGTTGGATTCTGGCTGCAGCTGAAGGTGACATGTCTTTGTCTTTGTGATTTCAGTGGACAGAGTTCACAGACCGGACGCTGGCCCGGTGCCCACACTGCAGGAAAGTGTAAGTAGCTGTAAGCGATTCATCCATCACATCCCTTCACTCCCCACTGAGCGTCTACATTGTAGATTTACACCCTGAGGCGGCCTGCTGAAGCTTTAACTCGGTGGAACCGAGTCACTCAGTGAGCGAGCAGGTTGTGGCTTCAGGGTCTGCAGCAGCAGCAGCAGAGAGCTCACGTGTCTCACGACATCATGAGGTCTCTGATCCGTGGGATTTAGCTCCACTTGTGTTTGGTACCTCAGGAGGTTCCTTTGACTTTGCTGCAAACCACATTCCTGTATTCTACATTCTGCGTAAGCTTCTTAACGCGGTGAGCAAAGTTCACCGGACTTTAGGAGCTGGAATCAGCAGGCATGTGATGCGTATCAAAAATGTATTTCAAGTATGGCAAATCTGTGATATTGCAGTTTTTTTATGCCAATATGGTTTCGGGCTGTCTGTCCCTGGAGGGAATTTCTTCAAATTTAGCACAAACTTGGCATTAAGGAAGAACTGATTAGAATTTGGTGGTCAAATCTCATTGTAGCCATAACTCAAGAATGAATATGCTAATTATGAAAAATTCAGACAAATGTCTGTCCAAAATATCATCACTTCATCCTATTAGACATCGATGTACGGCATAGAACCGCGAGGTGGTAGTTCTAGTTGTGTTTGATGACTGGTTACGTCTAGGATTATGAACAGAACTGTGTCGATAAAACTTAGTTTTAAGTTTTTGTTGTACATTTAGGAGTAATGGAAGCAGCCTCCAGGCGTGTTCCTGCAGTCTGTCAGACACACAGAGCAACAGGTTGCCTCGAGTCTTTGAACCTCATGGTGCTGAGAAGGAGGCGTCAGGTGTGTCCGTTGTATTACTGCAATACACGGGTGGGCCGTGACGGGTTTTATGAACAGCTTTAGTCGTCAGACTTAAGTTGGTCAGATCAGAAAAAGCCCCCAAATCCCGGATGGAGCCTGGACTCGTGTTTCTGCAGCTGTATCTCCGTCATCGTTCATGTTACTTCAGCCCTGAACATTCCATGAAGATTTCACCTGCTTTGGTTGCAGTAATAAACATGTTTCTTATGTTGATTGATCCTGGTGTAGGATTCAAAAAACATTAAAGATGCCAAATTATGTTTTAACCCACATCCTTATTATTTAATAGAACGTTTTCAAATATATTTGGACATGGGGAAACACAGGTGAAATATTGCAATTAATGTTTGTCTGAATTCTTTTCAGCTGCTCCAGCTTCAGCGTTCTGTTGTCGTTCATGCTGACTCACTCACTGGGAACTCAAATAGCACGGGGCCATCTTTATTTAATAACGCTTGTGCTGCTCCTACTGCGACAAATCAAAGTCCCTGCTGTGAAAAATACTCGTACTTACAGAGTCATATCATTGTGTTTTATTTGATTTAATTTCCTACTCAAATGAATCCTCTCTCTCTCTCTCCTCTGTCGGCCCTGCAGCTCCTCCATTGGCCAGAGGTATCCCCGAAGGCGGAGCTTGTGGTGTTTTCTACTCTGCTTGCTATTCAGCATCTCCACCGCCGGGCTGATGGTGAGTGGACGCCACACTGACATCCAACAGAGGGAGAGCTCTTTTAATCATAAGCATTAATATGAGATGATCATATAAAAACTGGCCTGTAGGAATTAAGGAAATAATTAAAGCTGCGAGCAGCATTGATCGGGCCCTCGCAACTTCACGCACGTCGAGGGTACTAGCAGGACTCTGGCCATGCATTTCTGTGACCATCATACACTGCGTGCACGAGTTAGATGATATTTCCTGCGTCGAGCAGCAGCGTAGCAAGATCATGTTGCCAGGTCTTAATCCTCAAATGTTTTGAGTGTACATCCGATACAATCATAAATGTAAGCCTTTAAAGGTCATTAAGAAAATGAATGTGTGTGAATGCGCTTCAGTGTTTGTAACATAACAGACTGTTAGTTTACTGGGATGGGGTTCAACTCCCTGCAGTGTCCTGCTGATTGTATTTGGACTTACATGAAAGTTAACAAAACAGTAGTGTCATTTGCTGTTACTTGAACACTTTAATTTAACACTGTTTTCATTTTAAGTTCTTCTGTAACTTTAGATTATAGTGTGAGCATTCATTGTAACGTTTAACCTGATTGTCATGAAGAAGCTCTGGACAGATCATTTATACTAATGCCCACTGACATGGTTTGAAAATCCACTGTTATCTAACTGTTGCTCTCCAAGCATCTTAGTTTGCACATATTTAGATCAGAGAAGTCTTTTTCTCATGGTGTGCCCACAAACCCTTTCAATAAGTTCAGTGTTTGGGCCGCTGTAATTATAGAATCCTGCTTACGTCCGTGCTTATCAGTAGGTGGCCCTATGACTATGAGTTAATATTGGCATGCAGAAGGCCTAAAGCCATGACAGTCGACAAGCATGTCTGACCAAATTCTAAGCTGATCGGATTAATTCCCTAGGAGGAGTTTGTGGTACAGCACCTGGAAATGGAAAAAAAAAACACGAGAAATTCATACAAAATTCAAAATGGCTGACTTCCAGTTGGGTTTAGAGCATGGTCCCAAGAGACTTTATTTTAAGTCCACATGTGATACATGTGCCTACCAAATTTTGTAAATCTATGTGAAACATACAGCGAGGGCTGCTTCGTCGAAATTTTGTAGGGGGCTCTATTGGGCCGATTTGCCACTCTGAACCAATAAAATCATATTATATAACTACATTTTGGGCTTTAAATGTGTATGCCAAGTTTGCTTATGTTTCGAGCATTTCTAGCCTCTCAAAAACACCTTAATTTTTCATGGTGAAGAATGCCTCACCACGGCAACAGCTTTTCACGAAACAACAAGGTTTGAGTAACGTTTCACCACAAAGGTCTTTAGACTGTACCGACCAAATTTGAAGTTGATCTGATTAATTACCTAGGAGGAGTTCGTTAAAGTGCAGCGCCTGGAAATGACAAAAACGACACTAGAAATTCATAAAAAATTCAAAATGGCTGACTTCCGGTTGGGTTTAGAGCATGGCCCCAAGAGACTTTTATTTAAGTCCATATGTGATACATGTTCCTACCAAATTTCATACATCTAGGTCAAACATACTGCGAGGGCTGCTGCGTCAAAATTTTGTAGGGGGCGCTATTGAGCCGATTTGCCACTCTGAACCAATAAAATCATATTACATAACTACATTTTGGCCTTTAAATCTGTTCGCCAATTTGCTTATGTTTCAAGCATTTTTAGCCTCTCAAAATTACCTTTGTTTTTCACGGCGAAGACTGCATCGCCATGGCAATGGCGTTCGACGAAACATCAAAAGCTTCATGAACTGGTATTATGAACTTCTTACATTTGTGTGGAAGTAATTTGATGTTGATTTGATTTACCTACTAAGAGAAACAAGCTAAAGTATAGAGACTTTAACTTCCTGTTACCAGTAGGTGGCGCTATGACTATGATTCAAAATTGGCCTGCAGATGTCTTCAGGCCTGGAGTCTAATCAAACATGTGAAATCTGGTAAAGATCTGATGATGTGGAGTTGAGTTACATCATTTTATTCGTTCATGGCGAAGGATCGAAATTCGCCGAGCCGCCACGTCGCCGCCCTTCAACAACTTCTTACAATTTTCACAATGAAGCATTACCAAGGTCTTAAGGCTGTTCTGACAAGATTTTAGAGGGATTTGATTAATCTGTGAGGAGCAGGATGTCAAAGTACACAACTTACAACTTCCAGTTGCTACTAGGTGGCGCTATTACTATGATTCTAAATTATCATATAGATGTGTTCCGGGTCAGGATGTTATGACATATGAGAGATTTGGAGCAGATTCGACAATGTATGGCCGAGTTACGACAACTTCCTTTTTCGCGGCGAATGATGTTTTTTTGACGCCACGCCACGGACACATAGTTTGATAACTTTCTGATCTTTGAGTAACTTTTCACTGCCAAGGTCTCAAGAGCATACTGACCAAATCTGAAGTCAATCGGGTCAAATCTCTAGGAGGAGTTCGTTAAAGTACGACTCCTTGAAACGGTCCAAAAACGTCATAAAAGCCAAAATGGCCGACTTCCTGTTTGGTTTAGAGAAAAATTCCAAGAGGATTTTTTGTACGTCCCATCACAATCCACATACCTACCAAATTTCATACAGCTAGGTGAAACCCGGTGTTGGGGCTACTCAATAGGGGGCGCTATCGAGCCAATATTTCATAATGCAGCTGGACACCCCAATCAGACTGCAATTTTCGCAAATTCTGGCTTGCGTGCCAAATTTCACAAAATTCCCAGTATCCCAAGCACCTCCTTTTTGCGACGAAACACTATGAATAATAATAAACAATCGAATAACAATAGGTCCTCCGCTCCGACTACGTCGGTGCTCGGGCCCTAATAACTATTGTCTCATCTTTTTCAAATCTATCCTCCGTCTTTGTTATTTAAAATATGCAAATCTTAGAATTGCAGATAAAACAAAGGCAGTAGGAAAAAGCAGTCCGATTGAAATCTCTCATCTGTACGTTTAACATGGAGGGTGTGCAGCTGTTATCTGTTGTTTAAAAATGGATAAAACAAGAGTGCAACAGCAGAACTATCTCCCGATCATAGATCACAACTGTACAACAGTCAGCAGAGGATAACACCCGGTTGCATAGAGAGGACTACACAGTGGATGCATTCTGCTTGATAAGCAGCAGAGGGTGCAAGACGAGCATGGAACGGCCTCAGTACAGACACATTTAACTCAGGAGGTAGAGGTGCCTGTCAGCATGGAGAGCACTTAGCAATGTGCACACAATGAGAATGCTGTATTGACAGCATTGTGTAATGCTGGTGTAGTGGCGGTAAACGCCGCACCATGAGATCAGGTTGTTTTAATTCTAAAGTATGGCGCAGGAGCACAAGTTTTGACAGTTTTAATCTCCGAGCTGCGTCAGTAAACTTTTATCGACAACAAGTTACGGATCAAACTTTGCTTCCAGACGGCGTTTAATTAGAGGAATACCGAAGCAACGGTTTTAAAGTACATCAAGGTAGTTAAGAAGATCCATCGCCGTAACAGCTGTGATGTGTTCCCAACTCGGCAACATGAGCTAATAGCTGCCATTTAAAATGTTAAGGCCCCCGAGAGCAGCTTGAATCATTAAAACGTCACACATCGTTTACAGGAGAAGAGGGAAGGCATTAACTTAAGGCTGCGCTCTACGTTACTCTTTAAGGATATTTGATGATTTTCTCAGCCTGCATGAGCTGGTTTGATTACCTCATGGTTCGATACGGCTGCCGGTCGCGCTCTCTTTAAATAACGATGAAGAGAATATGCAGTGCACACAAACGCGTACCTGTAACGTACACACAACCACGTCCCGGGCTGAAACATGCTCACTGGTTCATTCTAGATCTCGTTAATCATCAGAGCCAGCGCTGTGTATCATCCAGCAGATCAATTAGTGTCAAAATGTTATTCATTAGAGCAATTCTATGATATTCCCGACAGCACTTCAACAATTAATATATATAGATGAATAAAATGCCTCTGAAGTAATGTTCCCTAATTCTAATTCGCCTTGTTCTCCCCATATTAGCTTTACTCCAGTGTTGTGACTTTGAAACAGGAATTCATATTTCCATATTCTCAGAAAATCCCTGTGGGTTCTCTCAGTCACTTTTACCGTCCTCATTAAATAATTTTCTTCGAAGCAGCTGCACACTCAATACTTGATGGTGAAGATATATTCTCTCTTACCCCCCTTCACCCCCCCCCCCACCCCTCCAGTCACTCTCGAGTATTGAATACTTCCATGGAAATTAGTGCATTTGCAGCAATTCAGTGGCGCTGCATCAGTCTGGTGCAGGCGGATTGATCACAGACTGTGGATACATAATTGTAGGAGTGACTTTCATCTTTTAACATTAGAAATCTCTGGATTGTTGGATGGAACATGAATGTGTCACATAATAAATGCAAAGAACATTTTAGTTGTAGCTTTAGCTCCGTGTTTCCTGGTTTCTTTGTGGCCTGCTTGGTCTTGTGCTGACTCATTACAGTCACCATAACACCCTCAGCCTGTTCTCCACAATGCTTTGTCTGTTTAGGCCGGAACGTGGGCGAAGGCTCAGACCTACCAGGGGATCTACGCCTCGTGGGCCGCGCTGCTGCTCCTGGTTCTCGTCACCTTGGCTCGGGCCTTCTACTGGGCCTGCATGAGGGTCAGCCAGCCCCTCCAGAACTTCACATAGAGCCCCCTCCAGCCCCATGCCGCTCCTCTCCTCCCAACCCAACCAGGCAGGAGGAAAGAAAAACAAAAAAAAAACACAGAAAAACCAGATTATTTATTTAAATCCAACTCCAGAAAGAGAAACTTCTCCTCCTTCTGTCCCTCCCCGTTTAGTCAAATATGTTTCTAAAACTGGATGGCGGTGGCTGTGGCTGCTATATATCTATCGGTAACTATGATGACGCATATAGCCTAATGTACTGTTTATCTGTTCTAATCTCGTGGCCAGTGTGGGGCTCATTTTAACATCACCGTTCTTCTACTACTACTACTCCCCCCCCCCCCCCCCCCCCCCCCCCCACGCTGTTTCTACATTTTGGCTTTTGTCTGTGGCACATCGGTTGCACCCTTGCAACCTCTAAGCTTAAGGGCTTAAAGCCAAGTCTTACGTGTGAATATTTGCTCCTGACTTTGTTTCGGGGGGGGGGGGGCGCTCCCTCTTCCAATCCTAATTTGACCATTTGGTTTAGTATTTTAGCATTTTTCAAAATGTTTAAACAGAGAAAACAAGTGATTTCTGTGAAAGCGGTGATGAAGTCAGATGAAGCTAACTAATCGATACCAGCGGAGGCCGTGTGGCTGGAGGGACACCAGCCCCCTTTTGTGAAGCAAAAAGATCAAGTAGGTGTTGAAATGTGTCTGAAAAATGTAATCCAGCAGCACGTGAAGGTAGGCTACCATGTTTTTTTAAACTCAGTGTTTTCTGCTGAATTATCCCCCTGGGACCGACTTTGATCCAAAGCAGCTTGAAAGCCTTAAAAGGAGGTGTGGTAGAAGGATTCAACACACACACACACACACACACACACAGAGATGCCGACACACACACAGATGCCGACACACAATAAAAGGAGGGTGCTCTTTTAGAGTTTCAACGGCTCACAAACCAGCTTGTCAAAGGCATCCCAGCCTCCCTCTTCAAAGACGGACCTGCTAACCGATTTTCTCCCTATTGGTCCTTCTCCTTATTTTAGTGAAGGAAAAAAGTGACACGCATCCCACTTTAAAGTTTGATAGTTTGTCCTGGTCCCGTAAACCACATCTGTCATCCAAACTGTAGCCAACAGGTTTTACTTTTATACAAAGTTTTTTTTTTACTGTTCATTTTCCCGTTATACCTAAATACCTATTTTAATTGCACGTCTCCAATTGACACACCATGAGCAGCAAAATGTGGCACAAGCCCTCCTCCCATTGTTAAGAGGCCGCTTTACTTCATTACATGCGTCTATATGGTTTGACCTGGATTGATTTTTGTGCTGCTTGGCTTCCCGAAACACACCAAAAATATGAAACAAAACACGAAGAGGTATTGGCGGCTACAACATTGATATCTGAGTATAAGATGTGTTTTTGGAATTGCTTTCTGTTGCTGGCTGTAAGCTTTCATGCTCTCAAACCGCACTACACATTTGTCTTGGGAGAGGACGAAGCTGAATTTTAAGGGCCTGTTTGTATGTTTTGCTAGCTGAGGTTGAATCTATTAAAGCAAAACAACAGTGGGCTTAAAAATACAGTGCTACAGGCTCCAGATAGCAGCCCCAGAAACCCGGGCTGTACATGAAAATACATCAAAGCTACCAAATAAACTGCGAGAGGCGTGAAAGCACCCTGTTGCTAAACTGACAGGGTTTTGTATACATTTGGGACAATTCATGGTGAAAATATGTCCAGTCTTTGTCATTGAAGATGGCGGCTGTTATTGAGCTTTCTAGTTGATTGGTCTTCTTTAAGGCAACACACTACATGCTACATTCTCACTCATTAAGTCCCATCATGACTTCTCCGTCTGTGGTTCTGAATGTGGTAACATTTATTTTTCTTTTTGATTGTAAATATATTTGTTGTTTATGTACAATGAAAAGTGACGAATTATGTTGCACTCCGAGCTCGACGCTACGGCGGTGATCGCCGCGGACGATTTGTTTGTTTTAAAGAAGGTTATTTTTGCAACTCTTCACCCGTTACATATTTAATGATTTGATGAACTACTAACCTAATAAGCCTCTGGACACCCAGTCGTGTCCAAATCTTTAACCACAGAAACACATCAACATACTCACAAGCAACAAAACATTATGACCGAATCACATTCTCAAGCAATGACATTCTCTCTCTCTCTCTCTCTCTCTCTCTCAAACACAAACACCCAGCACCTTATACAGTAGTGAGAAACACTGCAGACACCAAGTAAGATGAGAAGAAGTTACCCTGCTTGACTGAACTGAGGTCGCAAACGGTTCACATGGAAGTGTCATGTTATTTATTATACACGCTGCAAAAAAAAGGCCACAAATAAGTCATTGATCAAGTCCGAAAATCTTATTTATTGTGGGAAAAAGTCTGTTATGGAGCGAGATAATCTAACTTTCTTCAAGACTGGACCAATGACATTTGTTTTTGATTTTATTTGATTACTACAATGACCCACCAGTTTCGAGTTATGTTCAGTGCATTGCTTTTTAATACTGATGGTAAAACAATAAGATTGGAGGACATGGTTGACATGACTTGTTTGAGGAGACCTTTTTTTGCAGTTGAGTGATCATGTTTTATCCATGACTGCAAAATGAAATCAATCATGTTATTGCCAATAATCAAGAACCTGGCTGATGCTCTTTTCAGAGTTTGTTTACACACAAATAAAGACATGATGATGTACAGAATGGCTCACACGAGTTCTTTTTTTATTTACCAAAACACAAGATCTGATAACGCCGTGAATCTCGGTTCATACTGTATATTTGTGGGAGAAAAACTTTCCACGTTAAGGCTTAAAGGCAAGGTTGGTAATCTTGAGAAACTAGCCAAGAGTACGCTGGATTTAAAAAATGAAAGTAGCTTCCAGCACTAGCTCTAAAAGTTGGTAAATATAGTAACGTCCCTTCACCTCTACCAGCGCCTCTTTTTTTCCTTTATATTCTGCTTTTGCTTTTGTCTTGTTCCCGTGTACACAAATGGTTCCCAACCTTTCTTGTATGATGTAACCCCTCAGCCCAATCCGATGAGCTCAAGTGAGACCGACTACCGTAAAAAATAAAAAATGTATTCGTTCATTTTAGCCAATAGTTTCAGCCATTTATCTGTTACTTTAAGCTAACTGCTTGAGCCATTTATCTGTTACTTTAAGCCAACAGTTTCAACCATTTATCTG